TCAACGTCTAGGCCCAGGTGGTCATAAGGTTCCTCATCAGCTGAGTCCTCGCCCTGGTCCTCATCACTGGAGAAGTCCTCTTGGAGAGCCTCTCGGACATGAGCAGCCAGAGCCTCCTTATCCAAGGCTAACGTAAGGCCTCCCAGCCCGCCGCAGGGGCCCGCAGGCAGGCAATATTAGCTGCCAGGGCCATATTAAAGGTGTGACATGGCCGCCCCTGCTTCAGCCGGTGCAGATCGAAGAGGAGCGCACGCTGAAGGGGATGATCCACCGCCCGCCGCATGATGTGGCCCCAGAAGCGGATGCGCGCCCCGCGCACCGTCGCCGAGACCGAGGCCCATCGGACACCCCGCAGCTGCAGACGCTCCCGCCCCCGCGCCCCGGACATGATGCAAGCCCTGCGGCGCAGGACACCCCGAGCCACCATGACCGACGCCGTCGTGGCCTGTTAATAGCTGAGGGGAGGGACGACAAGATCCGAGCCACAACCGAGGGAGGAAGCGGGTTGCGGAGCAAGACGGGCTGTACATCCGCCACCGCTCGCTGCGCCTTCACGCCTCGATGGCGGGCCACCGCCGCTCGGTCCAGCTGGTCCGTGATCAGGGCCCCAAGATATACCAGCGAGTAGACCTGCGGCACCGCATACCCAGCCAGGTGAACTGGCCAAAGAAGCACGTGGAGGGCCTACCCAGGCACGCGTTCCAGATATTCGCACTTAGCCAGGTTGAGACTGAGGCCAATCTATGCAGCAGGGACAAGGGCCCTCATGAAGTCCTCGAGGTCATGGAAACGAAGACAGAGGACCAGGATGTCATCAGCAAACGCACAGATGAGGGGCGCCAGGCCAGGGGCAGAGAGGTCCAGCCGGAACCTCGGGCTGGCCCGACAGACACAGTACAGACCCAATGTAGCGCCCTCGTGAAGAGTTCCGGCGCAATAGTGCAGCCCTGCTTGACTCCACGGCGAGAGCATACCTCCATCGTCCCGGCCGCAAACCACCGAATGGAGGTGAAGTCCTGAAGCGCCACAGCCCCCAGCCTGTTCAGGAAGTAAGGCGACAGGCCAGCATCATGGAGCACGGCGAGCAGCTCAGGCCGCAGGACTGAGGGAAACGCCGACTTGAGGTCAATGGCCAGGATGTGCATCCTTGTCCGCCGCCCTCCAGCGTTCGTCGAGGACCTCACGCACCACAAAGATGTGGTCATACGTACTTCTGTCCTCCTGAAACTGCGCGTTCACTTGGCCCGCCTTGCCACGCCACTCCACTGGTGCTGCTGCTGCTGCTGCCAGCTGCCGTGCCCAGCCGTGCCGTGCCCAGCCCAGCCGTGCCGTGCCATGCCTATCACCTTCTCCTCCTCTCCCTCTCCTGTTCCACTTCTCAAACGGGACCCGTTCGCCAGTGCGAGTCTCCGCTGATTTCGGCGAGCGAGAGCAAATGGTCCGGAGCCTGACCGAGCAAGCAGCGCGCGGGCGGGCAGCAGCGTCGGCCGAGAGAGAACGAGCAACAATCGGGAGCGGATGCCGGTCTTTGCAGCGCTCTACACCAATGTTTTGGTTTTCGCCGACGAGACGGCTTCTGATTGGCTTAAAGGGCGTTCGGGCCCATCACGTGACCTTTCCCGAACAGTGAAGTATTAGTGGGCCGACTATACGCCTGTCACCCGCTCTGCGCTGTAGATAGCAAGGAGGAGAGGAGGGGGATGGTAACTTTTCCCCAGCCGAAAATTCCGGTTACGGTTACGG